GTCACTTAGTACCTTTTGGCAGTTGCCAGCTATGCTGGTGGCTGACTACTGTCACAGATTAATGGACTGCACAGGGTTTCAATTGCAAAATGCAGGGACTTAAAATCTTTGGACCACTGGCCCTGAATCAAGGCTGTTGGTTTCAAGCAGAAGCCTAAAGAGATGTCTTTCTATGGTCTGTTGGCCATTTCAGAACTTGGGCAGTGAAATGGTCAATTCATTAGAAAGCAACAGCTTGACGCAACCTCCTTCCCCCCATGAGCGGCTGTGAGCATGGCAGGCTGTGGCAGCCCAGGATGGGAGCCACCGGCATTTACTGGGACCCGGCAATGGTGGGACCTGGAGCGCCAGGAAACCAAGCAAATCCTGTCCCTCTACCTGTTTTGTTTTGTTGAACTTCAATATACATGAAAGTATGGACAGCTATTTTTTTTTAATTTTATTTTGAAAGCAGTAAAATACAACAGAACAAGACAGAATAAAGCCAACTAAGATCGTACAGTGAAATTGGTACAGAACTTCACAGCAGGTTATTGGGATAACAGTAATAGGTGTCACAGTATATTTCATTATTTTTACAATAGTTGTTCTTTCAATCACGTATATCAAAATAAAATGAAATACAGAACATTATAGAACTTATCAAAACAGAATATTGAATAACAGTACCATTAATTAGAATAGAACAAAACAGTAATAAAAATATTTGCCTTCAAAGAGATGGTAGAAGGAAATCCCCCTTATTTGCTATGGTCAACCTCCCAGGAGATGCTCAGATTTCTGGTTCCCGTTTGCTAACAAGGGACAGGAGAAGGAGGGGAGGGGAAGTGGGATGTTTGACTCTAGGCCGTGCACCAGTAGGTTCACTATTGCTTAGCAGGGAGTCAGGCTGGTTGCTTGGTTTCCCAGCTTCATAAGTTCCAACATGGTGTGGAATTTCAAAAGACACTGGTGGTTCCCCCTGTAGGGGCTGTAGTCTGCCACACTGCAGCCACTTACCAGGGAGGGGAGCTGCTTGCTTGGTTTCCCAGCTGGAAAGCTATTTTGAAGAGAACGAGACTCTATGACAGCCATTAGTGACTTCCCTATTGTCTGGTTTTGAAGACCTAAAAACACCTTCCTCATTCTCTTCAAATCAGTTTTATACTATGTTGTTCTGTATGAATTCTCTGTATGCAAACCTCATTTGTTGAATATCTATTTGGAAGAAAACAAGAAACAATATGATAGATAGTGAAGATCTCAGGTCACCTAGTTTTAAAATTTATATCTCTTACATTGCTTTCTTATATCCTATTTTGTTCTGTTTTGTTGTATTTAATTGTACCCCCTTTAAAATAAAAATTAAAGAATTAAAAAATTAAAAAAAAATCTTTGGGGGCTGGGGATTTAGCTCAGCAGCATAAGCACTTGCCTTGCAAGCAGGCAGTCGTGAGTTCGATCCCAGGTACCGATTAAAAAAAAAATCTTTGGACTGCACTTAAAATAAAAAGATCTACAGAGCTCTCCAACACAGCTCCTCCAGCTTCAGCTGACCACCAATCCTGTGCAACAACAAAACAAAAAGGGCTATGTAGGGAGCTAGGAAGCTGGAGACTGGCCATATGTGTGGGGCTAAAGCAAGGTCAGCCCCCAAAAAACATAGAGACCAAAACAAGCTATGTAAACAAGTTGTTCCAGCACCAAGAAGGCAAGGGGCCAGGCCTGCCAGGCCATGGGTTGCTAGGCAGAGGGGCTGAAATTGACATCATCTTTCCCAGTACATAAATAAAGGTGCTACAGTGGTTAACAGGTCCTTTCCTCCCATCAGGAGGATAAGGGCTCCACCTGAGGCCAGTTTTGTCTTTTATTTTTCTAATCCCCTCGCCAGTCCTTAATCCCAAAAACCTCAGGAGCTACCTTGGGTGTGGCAGGAATCCTCAATTTTATTCACATGAATATAATGTTGTAACAGCTTCCGAACAATTTCAGATCTCCTCAAAAATTTACAGCATTGGCCGGGCGTGGTGGCTCACACCTGTAATCCCAGCACTCTGGAGGCTGAAGCAGGAGGATTGTTGCAAGTTCAAGACCAGCCTGGGCTGCAAAGTGAGCTCAAGGCCAGCCTGAACTGCATAGTGAGACCCTGTCTCAAAAAAAGACAAAAAAAAAAAAAAATTTACAGTATAACTCAAAAATTCTAGGCCAGGGATAGTGGTGCACACCTGTAATCCTGGCACTTGGGAGGTTAAGCCAAGAGCATGGCTGTGAGTTCAAGGCCAGCCTGAATTGCATAATGAAACCATCTCAGAAAGACAAAATCTATCCTCAGGCTGGGCTTGGTGGCACACCCCTGTAATTCCAGCACTCGGGAGGCTGAGACAGGGGGATCTATGAACTATGGTAGTGAGACCCTTAAAAAAAACCCTATTGGATTAATAAACTTTTGGGTAGGTTTGTGGTTGATCAGTGTGTAGGTTGAAAATTGAGGAGAGAACAAAAAAAAAAAAAAAAAAAGAAAGAAAGAAAATTAAGGAGGGAAGACACTCGATGGGAGTGGTACCCACCAATATGCTTGTGGTCTGGACAAACTCAGACAGGAAAGGAGCACCATCTTCAGAGGAGCGCCATCTTCCAATGTTAGTCTCCAGTTCCTGCGGGTTTGGAGTGAACTCCGGCTTTCTAGTTGTTTGCTCCCCCTCCCCACAGACAGGGTCTCACTAATTGCCCAGATGGGCTGCACCTTGGCCTCCTGCCTCAGCCTGCAATTACAAGTGAGCATCACCATGCTCAACCTAAGTATGTGTTTATGTCTTTTTGAGACAGGATCTCACCGTGTAGTTCAGGCTGAATTTGAACTATGTACCCTAGGCTGGCCTGAAACTCATGTGATCCTTCTGCCTCAGCCGCCCCAGTTCTGGGATCACAGGCATGTGCCACTATGCCTGGCTAGCTTTTTTTTTTTCCAGCTATTTCTTTTTAAATGTAGGTATTGGTTACTGTAATTTACCATTGGCACTCTTTTAATTAATTTCCTAAATCTTGGTGGGGTGTGTGTGTGTGATAAAAACGTTATGTATACATCAACAGGCAGACGCTTGTGAGGATTAAGCTGTTGCCCAGGTTGGTTTTTTTTTTTGACCTGACGACCATGTGCTTGCAAGGCAGGCGCTTATGCCCACTGAGCTAAATCCCCAGCCCACCAGGTTGGTTCTTAATTCCTGGGTTCGTGACCCTCCTGACTCAGCTTCCCAAGTAGCTAGAACTACAAGGATATGCTACCATGCTCTGCAAATGCTTTGTTCAAGTTTTAGTTCCATAGCAAAATCGAGCAGACACACAGAGGCCCCACAGCTGCCTCCACACATGCGTGGTTCCCCCACCATTCCACAAGGTCACAGTCAGTGAGCTGCACTGACACACGGCCTAGGCCACAGCTCACATCAGAGCTCCGTCTTGGTGTTGTGCAGCCCAGGGGTCTCAGTGAAATGCTTCCTGACCTTATCACCACCTCGACAACACCCCCAGAGCTCTGGGCAACAACGAGGTACACAGGTACACAGGTGCACCGCTGACAGGGAAGGTACCCCCTGGGAGAGACTTGAGCACAAGGGTGAGCAGGTCCATTTTTTCTGCTCAATTATGCTACAACCAAAACTGCTCTAAAAGACTGCCTTCCAGGCGTCTCAGCCCACACCTGTAATCTCGGTGCTAAGGAGGCTGAGGCAGGAGGATTGCAGTGTGTGAGGCCAGCCTGGGCTACAAAGTGAATTTAAGGCCAATTTGGACTGCACAGTGAAATCCTGTCTCAAAAAATACAAAAAACAAAACTTTTGGTTCACAACTTGTCTGACCACTTTGACCTTCAGGGAAAACCCTTCATGGTCCTTAAGTATTCAGCTCCTCGGACATGTAGGAGGCTAATGATGGATGTCCTCCTTTGGTGAAACACGGTTCCATCCCAGCTAATGAACCAACGTCTTCCAAGTGCTTAATCTAACCCTAATGAACCAACATCTTCCAAGTGCTTAATCTCTTAACAGTCTTGTGGCAGAGTGGAAAAAGTGAGGGGTAATGGACCACAATTTCAAAATAACAGATTTCCTGGACCAGTTACTGAACCTCTATGAACTGTCAATTAATTTGCAAAATGGGGCTGCTGCCTTAAATACGGATATTCCAGGGGAGGCACGGTGGTGCGTACCTGCAGTCCCAGCTCTTCAGGAGGCTGGGGCAAAAATGCTGAGCCCTAGAGCCAGGTGTGGGTGTGTAAGCCTGTAACCCCAGCACTCAGGAGGCAGAGGCAGGAGGATCCTTGCAAGTTCTAGACATTGGGCTACAAGTGAGCTCAAAGCCAGACTGAACTGCATAGTGAGATCCTGTCTCAAAAAGCCAAAAAAAAAAAAAAAGTGCTGAGCCCAGGAATTCAGGGACAGCCTGGCCACGTCGATACTGCCCCTCTCTCAAAATTTGGTGAAACTAACTGGGATCCAAATAGTGTAAAGGTAAAAAGAGCCAAGATTTTGTTTCTTTTTTTTTTTTGTCTTTTTCCTTTTTATTGGTACCAGGGATCGAACTCATGACTGCCTGCTTGCAAAATAGGCGCTTATGCCGCTGAGCTAAATCCCCAGCCCCAAGATTTTGTTTCTATGGGAAAAAATGTTAATAATCTTTTGGTGACAGCATTAACAGTAATTTTATTACACAAAGCTTTGGGAAAGAGTCTCACTTTGTAGTGCATGACCTCAAACTCGCCTCTATCCTCCTGCCTCAACTCTCCCCCAGCACTGGGATCACAGGGGAGCGCATCACGCTGATGGGCCGGGCTGGTGGTGCATGCCTGTGATCCCCGCACCTGGAGACTGAGGTAGCTGGATCACTGTGAGTTCCAGGCTGAGCTGGGCTACAAAGTGAGTTCAAGGTCAGCATGAACTGCACAGTGAAACCCCAAGTCTAAGACAAAAAAAAAAAGGCATAAACATGATGCTCAGAAAATACATTTTAAGAAGTCAAAGCACAACTATAGAAAAGAATATTTTATTCAAACAGTTTCTCAATTAACAATGGAGCAAAGTACAATCTGATTTAAATCTGTCCATCCAGCTTCAATAGCTAATGAAAGAACTCAAACGGGGGGGGTGGGGGACGGACGGACAGATGGGACTTGGGTCCCTCACTGCCAATGTGGCAAAAAAAAGGGGGAGGCGGCGGAGGTTAGGGTGGGGGCAGAATGACTTGACAACCAGGTTTGCCTTGTCCCCGGCCCGGAGTCAGCCCCAGCTGCCACTACAGACAGCACTGGAGGACAGGCCCCCAAGGGCCTGGCATAGTGGGTGAAGGTCCCCGGTTCTAGCACTGCACGATCCTGTACCCCGAAGCCCGACTGTGGCATTTTTACATTCATACCATGGTCTCTCATCCCCCAGGGGTCTTGGGATAGGGGCTCACAGTAGAAAGCACGTTTTGGTCAGCCTGGAGGGTTGAGGGGTACATGGGGCAAGGGAAAGGCTCTACCTAGGAGGGATAGGCCAGTAGAAGGGGACAGCTCATCACAGCCACCTGGAGCCATCGAGCTCCTGGGAAGGACACCAAGTGCGTGCGAGGTGAGCCCACATCAGTCTTTCTCTGGCTCGCTGGGCTCAGTGCCCGATGACGCGGGCTTCCTACCCCGACAGCAGCAGCTGCCCTGACTCCATCCCTGCCTGCTCTGGCCACCAGGGCACACATGCTGCGGGAATACTTTACACTGACCCCGGCTGGCCCACAGGTAAGGCTCTGGGCAAGGGGGAAAGAGGAATCCCATGTGCGCCAGGAAGAAAGCAATCAGGTGAGAGGCGGGCTTCAGGAAAGGAACATTTTGGGGGAGAAAAGACCAGAGAGAGGCACTCAGAAACAAGACCCGGTGACGAGGCTCTGCGGACCTAGGCCAAGGACAGACCGATTTCCTGGCGCACAAGGGAAAGGATAGACGGATGGAAGGGTGCTCTCCTGTGACCAAGACGCCCTCCCCTACCAGGTCTCCACCTACCCCTGCAGGAGTAAGACGCGTGAGTGATTTTCCCCGAGTGGGTAGAAGAAGACCAGGGAGCAGGTGGGACGGGGACCAGACAAATTCAGGTTTTAACCACAGGGCTGCTCCAGAAGAACCTGGGAGGTGGGCCCCACCTGCCCCTTCCCCAAGCGACATTCCCAGGGGAGACAAGGAACTTAAGCCACGAGGCTGGGCCCACCCCGCCCCCACCCCATGGGTAATAAATAGAGGTGGCCAGAGGGGTGGGCTGGGTGGGAGCCGGGAGGTGGAGGTTATAGTTCATCGTTCTTCCGCTTCTGTCCGGCTGGCTGCTGCTCCTGCTCAGGTTCTGTTGGGAGTTGGGGCCACCAGTCAGAGGCCAGCGGCCCCAGTGCTCGGCAGCTGTTTCCCCTTCAGGCCCAGTGGCTGCCGCCCGGTGCACCCCAGCCCCTGGCTCCTCACCTGCTCCAGGCCCTCCTAACTCCAGCGGCTCAGTGTCTGCTGGTTCAGACCCTGCATTTTGGAAGGAGTAGTTTAGTCTTGCAGGTTAATGGAGGGGTAGCAAACTATTTCTGTAAAGAGGCAGCTGATTAAGTACTTTATGATGTGTGAACACAGTAGGCCTCCTGTTCACCTGATTTTTATTTTTGTTTGAGACGGGGTCTCACAATGCAGTTCAGGCTTGCCTTGAGCTCACTTTGTAGCCCAGGCTGGTTTCACACCTGCAAGGATCCTCCTGCCTCAGCCTCCCCAGTTTGGGGATGGGCCACCATGCCTGGCTTTTGTTTGCCCAATTTTTTTTTTGTCTTTTTCTTTTTTGTCTTTACTGGGGTTCGAACTCACGACTGCCTGCTTGCAAGGCAGGTGCTTATGCCGCTAAGCTAAATCCCCAACCCTTGTTTGCCCAATTTTTAAAAAAAACTTCTTTAAAAGTAATGGCCATCCACACTTCAAGGGCCATCTGGGAACAAGCTTCTGTGCCTGTGCCTGCCAATAGGTGGACACCCTGCCAGGCTGACACCATGTCCCCATTCCCAACCATGGTTCCCCGACTCACCAGTCTCTACCTTCTCGGGTTCTGAAATGGGCTCTGCGTCTTCAGTTTGGCCTGCATGGAAAGCAGAGTAAGATGTCGCCCGGGCAGGACAGGTGGGCTTTCCTCTGCCTGCTGACACCCCGAGCCAGGTACCGTGCTCTCACCTGCTGGTGGGATGACCTTCTCCCCTTGGTCACTCGCACTGGCACTGAGGGGAGGCTCTGCCCGGGTACCATTCTTATCCTTGGGCCGGGGCCGAGGCTTGGCAAACTTGGCCTTATTGAGCAGGTACTGCACCTCGCGGTCTAGTGCCATCATCTTAGCCTCGATGTCTTTGGAGAGCAGCACAGGCTTCTCCGTGGCAGGAAGCTTAGCTTGCTCAGCCACGGTTGCATTCTTCCAGGCCTGTGGGGAGGCCAGGACAGGCTCAGAGAGAGTTCTGGAAAAAGCACATGTCTGTCCCAGCTGAGATCACAACGACCTCAGTCTCTTCCCGCAGCCCGGAAATCCCTGTCACCCTTGGCCACTGGTCCCACACTGACAGCTTCCCAGCTAAGTGTTCGGTCACAGAGTCACAAACTGATTACCCAGGTCTCATTGATGACTTTCTCTAATGTTGTCATCTCCACCTCAGTGAAGATCTGGTCCATCTCTGGGAGAAGCCGGGCACCCCTGGAAGCCAGAGAGAAAGTCAGCCCAGGAAGCAGAGGTGCACAGTATGGTGGGATGGGGAGCTGCGGCCGGACAGGAGTGGATGAAGGCAGGGGTCGCTCACTTGAGGAATATGCTGGAATGGTTGAGGAGACTGTCCAGGGCAGACAACCGTTCAGGCCACTTCTTGCGCTCTTCCACCCGAAAAAACAATCCTAGGCACAGCTTCCTCAGCTCGGCCAGCTTGTCCTTCAACATCTGGCGGACATGGCGATAAGCAGAGGGCTTGAGAGCTGGTAGGAGAACCCTGAGGAGGCAGCCCTCCATCCACTTTGTTTCTGGTGTTGGGATTTTTTCTTTTTCTTTTTCGAGATATGGTCTCACTATACAGTTCAGGCTGGCCTTCAACTCAAAGCAATCCTCCTGCCTCAGCCTTCTGAGTGCCAGGTAAATAGGCATGCTCCGCCATATCTGGGGATTCCACCCAGCAATTCTCCTGGTAGGCAAGCCCGACCACTGCTATAGCCCCACACAACCCACCCCCACCTTCTCCTGAGAAGGTCTATGCTGCTCAGGCTGGCTTCAACTTCCGGACTCACGCGATCTTCCCGATCCGGCTTCCTGAGCAGCTGGGACTGGGATGCACACCCCTGCATCTGCCTGTCTCTCTCTTTTTTTTTTTTTGCAGTGCTAGGGACTGAACCCAGGCCCTTGTGCACGCAAGCAGGCTATTACCCAGCTACACTCCCGGCCTCACACCCCCGGCTCTTCTTTCTGAAGCTGGAGGAGGAGGTCCAGAGCTCCCGCCCTGCCCTCAGGTCCCCGGAAACCCCTCACCGCAGTTGTGGCGGCAAAGCCGTCATCCTCCAGCCAGGTGGACGCAGCACTGAGTTTCCCAGCAATCTCCTCACGCTCTTTCTCCGTGGACACTTCCTGATACTCAGGCTGGTATAGCTTGTCCTAGGAGAGGACAAATGCACACTTTCAATAGGCCCCAGGGCAGGGGCTCAGCACACACCCTCAAACCTGAGTCCCGGGGCCAGAAGGTGCAGTCCCAGCCTGCCAACCTGGGTTTCAAAGATAAAAGCTTCCAAGCTATTGGCAGCTTTCTCCCGTTCCTGTTTCTCTAGGTCTCGAAGGGTCAGGTCCTCAAGTCTGTGGGAGGAGGAGAGGCAGGGATGAGGGCGAGGGCAGGTTAGGGTGTGAGCCCTCCGAGGTGTACTCCACACCTGTTCCACGCGCGCTCGCCACTTACTTCTGCACTGAGCGAGCCAGCTCATCCGCTGGCAAGTCAGGCAGGTCCAGAACAACCAGCTCCACCCCAATCTCCTCCACCATCCTCTGCTTCCGGGCAGGCTTCTGCTTTTTTTCTTCCTCAGGGGATGGAGGGGCACCTTTAGGCCCCAAGTCTCCCTTCTCACTGGTCTTCTGGGTGGGAAGAGTTGGAACATCAGGGGGAGCTCTGACCTCTTCCGCAGAAGGCCTCCGTCCCTTCCCAAGCCCCTGTCCCCCAGACTGCCCTTCTCCACAGCTCACCTGGGCCTCCGACTTGTCCCCGTTTTCCTCTGCAGCAGGCTTCTCTGCCTCGGGGGCTGTGTCTCCCTTGGGCTCAGTGAGCGGGGGCTGAGTGGTCCCCTCCACTGGGGCCTCAGCTTCCTCCTTGAGTTCCACCTGCTCCCCAGGTTCATCCTTGCCTCCCTCAGCAGGGCCCTCCTCTTCCTCCTGAAGAACAATCACAGGCGCCCTGGTTGACAATCAGCAGAGCTGGGGGCCGGGCCGGCTCCTCTGCTCTCTGGAGAGTCGCTGCTGAGGATGCAGCTTGGGGGGGCCACCGGCAGCAGAGGAAATGGCTCAGGTCCAGCAGGGTGGGGGTGGGGGTGCAGTTAATACAGTGCGGGCCAAGGCGAAGGCCAGGGAGGCCCATCTGACCCCACACACTGCCCACGCCTGCTCCCCACGCGCTCACACACCTGAACAGTATCAGTCCCGTTCTCTTTAGTGTCTGCTGTGGAACCACCACCAAACAGACTGGAAATGGTATTGCCAAGCTCTAGAGAGAAGTGCACAGATTCAAAATGGGACTAAGCAGTGACTCCACCTTCTGACCCAAGTGCAATGCCCAGTCCATCACCCCAAAAGCACATGAGTGTGTTTGCTCCCATCCCCACACTCACACACTGGTGCACACATGCATCTTACTGGTGAGAGTAGATTCTTCCTCTGGGCTGTCTTCCACCAGGGTCTCAAATACAGACTCTACCTGAAAAAGGGTTTGAAATGAAGACAGGCACATGCTAGCCTGGCACAGTGGAACACACCTGCAATTCCAGTACTCAGGAGGCTGAGGCAGGAAGATCACTGCAAGTTTCAGGCCAGTGCCATTTCTCCATAAACACCTGCCACAGGGAGCGAGTGTCTGATAAAGCATCCTGGGACTCACCGTTCCTCTCCTGACAGGGACAGGGTTTGGTTATGTAGTTCAGGCAGGCCTGGAACTCATTTTATAACCATGGCTGGCCTCAAACTCACCTAATCCCTCTGCCTCAGCCTCCCAAGTGCTGGGATCACAGGTGTGCAACAGTATGCCCAGCTCTCCTGCCTTTGGGAGAAGGGGGTGGCACAGGTAACAGGGACGGAACTCACAACCTCATACTTGCCAGGCATGCACTTGTGTCACTGAGCTAAATTCCTGGCCCTCACCTGCCTTTTCTTAAGGGCTCCTAGATGGTCACCTGCTCTGACTAGGCGTCCTCTGACTTGGAGACAAGACTGCAACTCCTTTTTCCCCTTACAGCCTTCTGTGAATCTACTCAGTAACCTGATTGGCCATCTTTCTCCAGAGTATATGCTAGGAGACATTCAATCCAGGAACAATGGGCTTCTCAATCATTCTGTAGTTCTCAGTAATGAATTACAGTGCCAATAAGCATTTACAGGCCCAAGCAGGCCTACATCAGCTTTCTAGTTAGCTCTGGCAAGAGGCCAAGATTGGCTGGGCATAGTGGCACACTCCTGTGATCCCAGCATTTGGGATGCTGAGGCAGGAGGATCGTTGCAAGTTCAAGACCAGCCCAGGCTACAAAGTGAGCCCAAAGCCAACCTGAACTGCATAGCAAGACTGTCTCAAAAAGACAAAGACAAAAAAAAAAAAAAAAAAAAAAAAAGCCAAGACTGACCAGACCCCCAAACCCTCGTTTATACCGCATAACATACTTTGGGAAAGGCTGGCAGAGCGCAGGCTCCAGCCGGCACACAGGTCTATGCTGTTCTCACCCTGTCCAGACTGAGCACACCACTCTCATCCAGATTGAAGTGTGCCTTAATGCCCTTGGACTCGTAGTCGGGATACTTCTTAAAGCTGTCACCCACACCTTTTAGTTTCACTGTGGTCAGATTCTGAGAGCCAAATACCCTGGATGGGAGAAAAAGAGGAGTTTGAGATTGACCCAGCTGACCCTCAACTCCAGACTATAGACTCCTGGAACTGCATGTCTGTGCCCTGCCCAACGCCACACTCAGGAGAGAAGTACTCTCCAGAGAAGCTCTCACAAGCCGGGCATAGTGGTGCACACCTATCATCCCAGCACTCCGAAAGCTGAAGCAGGAGGATCACCTTGAGTTTGAGGCCAACCTGGGCTACATAGTGAGTTCAAGGCCAGCCTGGACTACACAGTGAAATTCTGTCTCAAAAACAACGAACACTCAGAGAGGCTCTCATTCTTAACCCTAAGTCTGGTTCCACTCAACCACATGGCCTTCCTCCTCCTCTCCCCCAATCCTCAGGTCACATGCTGGCTGTACCTCCCCCTCCTGGAAGTCCCATCCTGTCCCCCAGCCCTCACCTGAGATCCTCAGGCCCCAGGAAACCCAGGTCACCATAGTTGACGTGGAAGTCGAAATCGTGGCTGTAGCGGTTAAAGGTGATGACCTTGCGCTGAGGATAGGGCCCCATGCGGGAGAAGAGCACGCGTTTGTTGTGCTTCAGGCTGCGGACCCCAGGCTCCTCCTCTACCTCCCTGGTGAATTCCACCTACATGGCAGGGAGAGAGCACACTGGAGAGCCAGCGGGAGATGGGGCGGAAAGATAAGGGCGGGCTGGAGTGGGCAGAAGGCAGCACTTGGAGAGGCTGCAGGAGCTCATCCCCGAATGCACAGGCTCACTCACCAGGATAGGATAGACCACTGCATCTCGGATGACAAACGGCTTCACCTTGAACGCTTTGCTGAGGGCAGCTGCCTGGTACACAGCCCCCATGGCAGCTGCTTCATCTGCATTGATGTTCTTCCCCAGTTCCTCCCTACGAGAGTCCCAAACATCAGTCCCATCAGCACCCAGCCTGGCCTCTTGTCCTAGTCCTCCAGGTGTCCAGCGCTGGGAGGGCACAGGCCTCATTTCTGGTGTCCACACTCACTTGCCCACAGCCTTCAGCAGCACCTCCTGAACCTTGGGGACACGAGTGGCTCCACCCACCAGGATCACCTGCTCAATCTCATCCTGCAGAGGGCAAAGACAAGGTGAGGCAGCTGACAAGCCTGTGTGTCCCCCTGCACCTCCTGCGGGCACTGCTGCCACCTCAGGCACTCACCAAGCTCATTTCCGCACTCTGGAGGGCCTGCCGGACAGGCCCAGGCACCCGCTCAAACAAGTCTGCACATAACTCCTCAAATTCCGCTCGAGTCACTTTTGCCTTGAAGTCTAAGTCGTCCATCAGGCCTTCAATCTGGGGGACAAGAAAGATGCTTGTCAGGAGGCTTCTGCTAAGGTCGCATTCTGTGGATATGCAGAGCAGACTCCACAGGAAACAAGACTGGGGGACGGCAGAAGCCCTCTGCCCCGGGAATGGGGACTTTGCCCTCTACTGGCCCTGTGTGGGTACCTGGGCCATGTGGTCAGCGTTGGCACTCAGCACGGTTTTGAGTCGATTGGCTTCCCGCAGCAGCTTGGCCATGGCACGTGGGTTCTCCCGCACATCCTTGGTTCTCTGGCCCTTGCGCTGCTCATTGAAGAGCCCAGCCAGGTGCTCCCGGAGCCGGAGTTCCATCTCCAGGCCCCCCAGGGTGCGGTCAAACCTGTCCAGGAAACGGAGCAGGGGAAGTGCTGGGAGCAGGTTCTCTCCATAGGCATGGGAGCCCGACTCCCGTTGCATCCTGCCCCTTTCTAGGACCCAGGTCACCCCGTGCCCACCGTATGGACACATGCTCAGTTCTCAATTGGGAGGGCCAGTTCATCCACCCACTTGCTCAACAATAATTTGTGAGCACCAACAAGAGTTGCACTTTTCCCTTGATGGAGAAACAGAGCCACCACAACACAGGGGAGAGTTGTGCTATTCAGGGGGTCTGGGGAAGCAGCCGTGCTGGAACTGAAACCTGAGGGACAAACAGGAGTGAATTAGGGGAAGAGAAAAATGAGCGTTCTAGAAAGAGGAAACAGCTTCTATAAAGACCCCTAAGGCTGGAGAGAATGTAGCAAACTCCAAAGAAGGGCAAGAGTACAGGGGTCAAAGACCAAGAGGAGTGAACTAGGCATTATAAACAGTGAAGAAGGGGCTGGGGATTTAGCCTAGCGGCATAAGCGCCTGCCTTGCAAGCAGGCAGTTGTGAGTTCGATCCCTGGTAGTGATAAAAAGGAAAAAGACCCAAAAAAAAAAAAAACCAGTGAAGGGAGGCAGAAATCCGACCAGCACAGGGAAAAAGTATAAAGAAATGGGTTACAACCCAATTAGCATTTTAATTTTATTTTACTTTTTGGGTGTGGTGCTAAGGACTGAATCCAGGGCTTTTTATCTGATTAAAAAAACCACGCTAACCGTGTGCTACATCCCCAGCCCACAGATCATATAGATTAACTATTTATCTTGAAACAGCATCTCGCTATGCACTTTAGGCAGGCCTTAAATGCACAATACAGTCCAGGCTGGTCTCAAATTTGAGGTGATCTTTCTGCCTCAGTTTCCTGAGTGCTGAGATTACAACTCTTTGGGAGTGGTCCCCCACAGACTAATTCTTTATCTGGGACAGGATAAGAAAAAGCTGCTATTCTAAGAAAGCCCTGATCTGAGGGTCTTAACATGTTCCCGCAAGCCTGAAATACCGGTGGTGTCACGCATAGCCGTCCCATCAGATGGCTTATACCTCTAGTGTTCAGCATTTATCAGACAATGGAATTCAGATCACAGCTGCCTGGCAGCAGCCCCATCATGACTGTGTTAATAAGAAGCCCTCCCCCTGGCATCCACTTACCCCACCCCCCGGATCTGCAGCTGTGGTTGCATCCCGGCCTCCTTAGTCTTCACTGTCTGGTAGGTCACGATGGTGCACACGGTGCTGCCTGAGCCCATGTCATAGAACATGATGTTCTGTAGAAATATCAGGAGGCCTGTCACAGGGAACTTTTCAAAGGCCACAGTACTGCCTGCCCACCTGCCTGCATTCAAGGGGCTGCCTAACTTTCAAACTGAAGATGAGCAGCTTCAATGTAGACCCAGAGGAGATACATTTTGCCAAAAGCCAGGTATGCAAACAAGTCCAAAACAGGTCAAGTGGCCTCCACCTCAGGCTCTGTCATCCCACATGTCTGAACAACAGGCCTCTGAGGCTCACCTGCGCAGTGGTGTTGATATCTTTCCGGCGGAAGACACCATAGCTGAGAGCAGTGGCAGTATTGTCATTGATAAGCTGCAGCACTTTGAGGCCGGCCATGCGAGCAGCCTGTAGGACAGCCCGGCGCTCAGCCTGGTTAAAGAAAGCTGGCACGGTGATCACAGCATCCTTGATGGGCTGCTCTGCAACAAACAAGAGAACAGGATCCCACTCGCTCCACACCCTCGACCAGTGATGGTGAACCTCTTGGAGCTTTCAACAACATAAGCAGCCTGCTGCAGCACGTGTGCCGAAGGTTTGCCACCACCGCCCTAGATGACAGTTTCTAACTTGGTCACTACTAACACTCGGGACCACACAGTCTGCTGTTCGGAGGGGATGTCTTGTATAATGCAGAACATTTAGAGACCTCCCAGCTCCTACCCACCAGTTGCCAGTAACACGTTCATAAGTGTAACAACCAAGTGTGTTTCCTGATATTGTCACATGTTCCCCAGGAGGCAAAAACTATCCCCATTTGAGAATCACTAATCCCCATTTTTGCCCAGGTCTACAGATCCTGGGGGAGCTTGGCTGCTGGTGGCTACCACCTTGCCACTCACCTGCAAAATCTTCAGCCAGAGAACGAGAGTAATTGAGAACCATGCCCAGCACTTCCTCAGGTGAGAACTGCAGCTGCCTGAGGGGAAGAGAGGTAGTCAAGGGCTGGGAAAACCAAAAACTAAGGCAGGCAATCACCAATGCACCAGTGAGGAGCCCCGAAGTTAAGGAGCCCACCCTTTCCAGCAGAACACTCACGGGCTAATCCGGAAGTGCACGGTCTGCCTCTGAGGATCAAACTGCAGCTCATGCTCAGGGAAACGAGCCCGATAAAGGGCTACGTGAGGGTTATCTGCCTGCTTCCCAAGGAGATGCTGGAAGTAGCGCAGTGTAGCCTTTGGGTTCTTGATGGCCTGAAGGAGGCAGATGTGAGCAGTGTTAAGAGCCGGGACTGGGCACTGCTGTCTCTGACATCACAGAGACAGATGCACGAGGGAATGGGCTGAGTCTGACACTCTGGGAAGGAGGCTCCTGCTCACCATGCCGGCTGCAGTATCTCCAAAGAATCTTTCATTTTCCTTCAGGGTCACAGTCACTGGGGTTTTTCTCCGAGACTCCCTGAGGAAAAGAGACCCAATGTGTATCAGGAGCCGCCCTACTCGGTAACTGATCACTCAGACACAACAGTCTGATGGGTGCTGAGTAACACATGCCTGCTTGGTGTCCAGACTCCCCCACTGCCCACCCTCAGCACCAAGACCACCTTACTTGTTCAAGACAATCTCCATGGGGACTCCAGGTTTGACGATGGCCACCTTCATGGACTCACTGCCCAGGTCCACAGACATCACTGCCACTGTGTCTAAAGAGAAAACAGGATTGTCAATTACCAACCCCTCAGGGCTCTCTATTGCAAACATATAACTTTGTGGTGGCAAAAGATAATAAAGACTAAGGAGAACAAAGCCTGGCTCCAGCAATTCTAAGAGACTTCTAGCCAGAAGCCTCACACCCTCCTCATCACTTGCTAATTCTTTTGATTCCTTTGCTGAATACTTACCACTCAGTGCCAACAGGTCTGCCAAGACGACAGCCACCAGGGCCCAACAGGCAAGCCTCCTCGGCCTCTGCCTCCGGTTTGCGACTGCCATTGTGCCCCTAGGGGAAGGAAAAGACACTTGTAACTGGCTGTGCAACACGAAAGAGACAGAAACACGTAACAGCACTGAGAAGCTGTGAGGGTCAGACCTACTTGCCTTCTAGAACAGACCGGCACAGCAGCCGAAACGGCCCTGCCTCCCTCCCTCCGGATGAATTCCAATCACTCCAATCACCCCCAGAAACGTCTACCGAAAGGCCCAAACTAAAGAACTGAGACCTCGGCTCCACCACGTCCCTAATCAGAGAAGTTAACACGACAGGAGAAAGGCAAGTCGGGCCTTCCATCCACAGCACCGGCTCCCCAGACACCTAGGATGGGGCCGGGGATCCCCGCGCCGGCTCCGCTAACTCCTCACACCTGCAGCTCCCCTGGTGGCCAGGAAAGCCGGGCTGGGCCTGGACGGAAACTGAGAGGTGATGACGCTGGGAGTGGTGGGGATGGAAGAGGGGCCGGTCCCCTCCTCTGCATCCCAGGAGTTGCCCGCTCCCTTTCCCTATTCCACTCCCCGGCCCCGATCCCCACGCAGACGCGGTATGGGGAGCGATAAGGTTACTCGCCGATCTGGTATTGAGCACCCGGCGTTCACTCAAGCCTCACCTGACCAAGGCGGCAGAGCAGATCCCAGCTCAGCCCCGCGCGCGGGGGCTGCCCAGGGCGCCAGGCGCGGGGCCCAACGCACCGGCGTCCGTGCGGGCCTCACTCCCGCTCCGACCCGCCCCCGGCTAGCACGCTGCCTCCCCTAGGAGCGATGGCTGGACCCTCCCCCGGCTCCTCTGGACTCGCACCCTGCAGCCTCTGCGATGGGACAACGCGGCGCAGACCTACCCACGCGGCCGGCAGCGCACCCCCCAGCTCGAGCCCTTCACAACTCCCCTCGGTTTACAAACTGTTACATTAACCACCCACCGCTCAGCGGCGTCTCTCTTCAGCCGGCCCCGGACGCGGCGCGCGCTCATTGGCGCCTCTGTCGCCCAGCCCAGCGCCGCTCGCCTGGCCCCGCCCCCACCGCGCCGGCGCGCGTCCCCATTGGGCCACGTCTTGAGCCCGCCCCCAAGCCGGCCGCTGGACCAGTCCACGGGCTGTGGCGGAACCGCCGGTGCGCATCGGCGATTGGGCCACGTCACAGCCGGGCGCGTTCCGCTTCCTCCTCTCTGGCGTCGACCTCGGGCTCCCGCGAGGCGTTTTCCGGCGTCGCTGCATCGCTGCCGGGGAGAGCAGCGCACCTGGCACGAGTTGGGCGCACGGTCAGTCCGGCACCTGCCCCTGTCCTTCCGGTCCCACCGGGATCCCAGGCGGAGGAAGGCTGGGGCCGGCAGCCTCGCCGCCGCTGCCAGCCAAGAGGCGCTTGCTGGCCGGGTGGTCCTGACCTGCCCAAGCGTTAGCGTGGACATCAGACAGCGACTGCGCTCCTGGCTCAGTCACCTCTGCCCCTTTTGTTTTCTGGGGGATTTTTTTTAATTCTAGGGGAAATTTAAACCACAGAAAAAAAGACGTTCGCTGATGGATTACAGATAAACTATGCATGAGTGGCAGAATCCGTCCTGGAATCCGAGCCCCGTTTGTATGAGAAAGAATAATCCAAGATGTAAAGCGTTGGAACTTTTACAGTATTTGGGGGGCTATATAATTGGCTAATCACATATATATCATCCCTCTATATCTGTTCCATTAATATCACACTTTCTCTTCTTAATTGCTTGCATCGCAGGATTAAAGCATCCCACTTTCTTGGGCGTTTCTTACTCCCTTTTCTGTTACTGTTGGGTCCTTGGAAAGTGAACTTCATTGTGGATGAAAATCAGCTGCGTGTTTCTTACTAAATTGATGGCTAGCCTGCACGGAGGTCATTACTCCCACTAAATTGATGGCTAGCCTGCACGGAAGTCATTACTCGCACTGTCCTAAGAAACTTTACTCCTGTGTCTGCATTTTTCATGTTCCTTACGTGGAGAAAGAATACTCGGTGTCTGTGACTACGAAAACCTGGCCTATGGTGCTTCCTTTTAAGACTAGAATACGGCTGAGGACTGAGGGTGTAGCTGTATTAGAGTGCTTTCTAGGTTAAGGGTTTGGGTACTGCCAAAATCCCCAGTACTGCCAAAAATAAGTAGTAGTTGTGTTCAGGTAATAGAAAAATTGGTAGAAATAAAGAAATTCACTGAAAATGTTAACATAGCCCAGTGTAGGGGAGCGTGTCTGTAAATCCCAGCATTCGAGAGACAAGAGAATTGCTGCAAGTTGGAGGCCAGCCTGGGCTACATAGTGAATTCAAGGGCAGTCTGAACCGCATAGCAAGACCCTCTCTGGAAAAAAAAAAAAAACCACTCCCCCCAAAATTAATGAAATTGTACAAACACTACACAAAAGTAATCTTGAAAAAAAAAATCAGTCTGTATTGACCAAAGTTCCTATCACACCAGCCACAACTTTCCACCCCTCTGGAGGTAACATCTGTTAACTGTGGTACAGAACTCGCTAGACATTTTCTTCTGAGTACACATAATGTGCTTCTCCAGAAACTTGTAGCTTTTATCTTTTTAAACAATAAAGTGTTATAAAATCACTTGCAATTTTCTAAACTAGTAAGTCGGAGTGTAGAGACCAGACAATGAGGATCGAGGCCTAATTGATCTGTGAGCAAGAGGGAGAACCACCAGCTGTGCTCCTTTGGCAACATGCAGATGTGCTTGCACTTTGCAAGCTCAGGGAGGTTCCAGGGGGGAATCTACAGAGCCTTGGATGTTTACCTGGGTATATCCTGCAGGTAACAGGAGGCAGATGACTCTCCTACCCCAATTGCTTGTCCTCATGTCTAACAAACAAGCGAGGTTCAACAAATGCTCAGGGTTCTTTGTCCACTAGAGGTAAGAACCCCCAGCCACTCTTTCAGAATTATCTTTGTGTCTTGTCTTTAAGCTCCATTTGCCCTAGTTGGGAATAAAAGCCGGCTGGTTCCTACAGTGGAGTATTTTCCATATAATGTTTTACTGATTGTCAGTGCTGTAGAACTATCCCTGAGCGTGGCATTGGTTTAGCCATAATGATTGATGTATAATCTGTTCAGTTTCAGTAAGAAAAATTCTTTTTTTTACATTAGATTTTATTGAACTGCGCATGATGGTGCATGCCTTAATCTTAGCACTTGAGAGGCTAAAGCAGGAGGATCGTTGCCAGTTGTAGACCAGCCTGGGCTACAAAGTGACTTCAAGACCAGCCTGAGCTGCATACTGAGATCCTGTGTCAAAAAGACCAGAAAAAAAAAAAAAAGCTTTCATTGGTACATTTTATATGTACATAATGATCACATTCATCATAGAGTTCTTGATAATTTACTGTACTAAATAATTATGCCTTTGGCCAGTGCTCCAGTCTTTCTGTCCATTTCAGATACTTGGCATGCTTTTTTTTTTTTTTTTTGTACCAAGAATCAAACTCGGGGTCTTGCACTTGTCAGGCAGGCACTGTGCTATAATCCCAACCCTCAGTATGCATTTTAACATTTGTTGAACTGCTGTGATATTCACATGTATTAAGTGCTGGCAATCTATAGATGGACATGAGTTTGCCCTTAATCAGAGGTGTCATATTTGTGGTTTCATGCACATATTAAAAACCTATCAGGGGGCTGGGGATTTAGCTCAGGGGCATAAGCGCCTGCCTTGCAAGTGTGTGGTTGTGAGTTTGATCCCTGGTACCGATAAAAACGAAAAAGACAAAAGAAAAGAAAAAACCTATCAGATGACTGCAGATTGTGAGATTCCAAGATACCCTTCATGAGAACAGATTAGCTGCAGTTATGGATCTCAGCCTGTGTATCTGATCTCCGGGTGGTGTGGTAGGTGGAGGTGCTCTAGGGAATCCCTGTTTTCTCTGACAAGCAAGAGAATAGTGTTTCAGAAGAATAAGTTGTGGAACAGTGGGAAAATTTTTCATGTGGAACTTGATTTAGATTATTCTTAGATAAATTTACTCCTTGTCAAGAATAACTCCTTAGGGGCTGGGGATTTAGCTCAGCGGCATAAGCACCTGCCTTCAAGCAGGCAGTCGTGAGTTCAATCCCTGGTACCGATAAAAATGAAAAAGACAAAAAAAAAGGAAAAAAAAAAAAAAGAATAACTCCTTAGCTGAACATGGTGACACGCTGGTAATACAGGCACTGAGGAGGCAGGAGGAGGAGGATCCTAAATGAGAGTAACCCTGTGTAACTTAGTGAGATCCGATCTCAAAAAGAATAAGAAGATAGGGCTAGGGATTTAGCTCAGTGGTTCAAGCACTTCTTGATAAGTGCAACGTTGTGAGTTCGTTTCCCGGTACCAAAAATAAAATAAATATAAAAAGAGCTGGGGAGGTAGCACAGTGGTAAAGTGCTCTTGGGTTCAACCCCCAGTATCAACCAATCCACAATAGTAGAGAAAATAACTTGGTACCGGGGATCGAACTCACAACTGCCTGCTTGAAGGCAGGTGCTTATGCCGCTGAGCTAAATCCCCAGACCAGAAAATAACTTCTTAACACTTGAGGCTGACCTCCCTTCCTAGACATTGCAGGAACCCAAGGAGGGTAAAGTTGCTGTCTTGTTGTTTGCCAAGCACAGGAATAAAATGAGTGTGCATGTGTGAACACACACCATGTTAATTACATATGAGCTGAAGGCAATATTTGGGCTTTCTGGGTCCAGAGGGGAAAAAATTTTAGAGACAGGGTCTCAACATGTATCATCTTTTCCCTTCTTTCTTTTCTCCTTTCCTCTACCTCTGTTGTTTCCTTTTGAGCATTTTCTTCCCTTTTCACTTTCATAATATTTATTGTACATCTTGAGTCTTATTTACTGTTTTAGTTTTTTACACTGAAGATTAGAAATAACAGGGTGTTTACACAAGTGAGTCTGATCTATTTCACTTAGTATGGTTTCAAGTTGCATCCTTTTATCTATAAAAGCTTCCAGTTTGTCCTTTATAACTGAGTAGTACTCCATTGTATAAAAAAATTACAATTTTTGACACTTGTTTTTCCTCTTTGCTGTTATACAACTGCAACAGGTGGGCATGGTCGTGCTCACCTATAATCACAGCAGCAGGATCACGCAGAAATTCGAGGCCAGCCTGGGCTACATAGTGAAATCCTGGCTCAAAAACAAACACTGCAATAAACACTGAGCAAGACAGTCCACACCTCCGATCCCAGCACTCTGAGAGGCTGGGCAGCTTGGCAAGACCCTTTATCAATGTGAGAAATTTAAAGGGCTGGGAATCCAGCACAGTGCAAAGGCCCTGAATTCCATCTTCAGTACCAAGAAGAAAAAAAAATGCAGTAGACATCTTTACAGATAAATCTTTACACAAACCTATCCCTTATAACTTACTTAGGTTAAATTCTAGAGACTGAAATACTGTTTATTCTTGATTAAGTTTACTGTTAAGAGATTCTTCAATAGCAGTGATTGGCTCCCCCATAAACTCAATATCACTAGACTGTGGGTATGTGTGTGTTACTGAGGTTAGAACAAGGGGCATTCTACTACCCAGCTACATTCATCGTTTTTTATTTTTTATGTTTATTTATTTATTTATTTTGCCTTCTTGACATAGCATCTCACTGTGCAGTTCAGGCTGGCCTGGAGCTCACTTTGTACCCCAGGGTGGCCTCGAACTCCCAACGATCCCCCTGCCTCAGCCTCCCAAGTGCTGAGATTACAGAAGTGCACCTTTTATTTTGAGATCAGATGTTTCTAAGTCACTAAATTGC